ACTGCAGGTTTTCATTTTTGCTGTTGCTGTTGCAAAAGCAGGCAAAAGACGGGAATAGACATTCTGACCATATAAAGCTTATACATTGCACAATATTTACTAAGAATAACAGACCATAATTAACGCAAATTCCATAATAGTGATGTTCACAGTAATCATGAGATCACGTGCAAGACTTCTTTTTTTTCCCTGTTTCTTTATAATCGGTAAGAGTAGTCTCCATGTTCTGTATTACATAAAAAAAATAAATCCATTTATTTGCCTCTGGAACCACAAGTCTTGTCTTTGCTGAAGATCCCTAGCAGGTGGGTAGCAATAGCATGGGAAGAAAGAGAATAGTACAATAAATGTTGACAGCAGATCCAGAACCCCATACAAATACTACAAAACTGTTGATAACTTATTTTCTTCTTGAAATTGTTTTTCATAAAGATGTCATTTCTGGTGATATACAACACTGCAGTTTGAGTGTCAGCAGGTTAGTGTGAGGATTTCATTAATTATTGCTGGACTTCTCTGCCAAAATAAGCATCAGGCCATGAGGTTTCAATTCAAGAACAGTGTTGGGCTGATAGTTGCTTCTCAGGGAAGATGCATAAATTGCCTATCACCAACTGAAATGGGCTCCAATACATGTGAATGGAGCTGATCTGGCTTATCCATGCTAGGAGCTAATACAATAAGAGAGTTTTTCATACAACCCGGAGGATATCCTACCAGCATAATACATTGGGGAGCTTCCTGATAAGTTTTGTTCCCTACAGGTAATATGAAAAGAGGTCCTAAAATCATTAGCTGTGCCAGTCTGACTTCCCGATGGGCCAAAAAAAGTGCTGGAAGTGGGTAGCTGAATTGTTTGATACAGATTACTACCTCAGATAATTTCAGGTAAAGCTATAAGTGAGGGTCATTTTGTGTTTCCAACTTTATGTGAAGAGTAGCAAGGGGTGAACAAATCCATATTGGAATGGACTAGAAGCTCAATAGTGGTGTTTCAGCTATGGAGGAAAATAACTGTTAGCTAAAGGCTTATAGGAAAAAAATTGAAAGTGGTATGATCCACAAGATCATCTCTGCCCAGCTCTGACTGTTTCTTGTGGCTACGCTGTTTCTGGGTCAAACCATACCCCACCCTCCCAAACCCTCAAGCAAAAATAAAAAACCCTATAAAAAAAACCCCAAAACATGCTGAGCCATATTATGCCATTAACTGAAATACTGCATCTCAGAATGGGCATGCTTTGAATCCCAGGGAATGTGTTTTGATCTTAGCAGCTAAAATGTCCTGAGCTCAGAGAGCACCTGCTGTCCCTCAGGGAGACAAGATTTTGCTTTCAAGATTGAAAAGGTCTTCCAGCTCCCCCAAGCTCTCGGCTCTGCTTTCTACACACAGAAATCACACATAAATTTATATGTATAAAATAAACTTTCACATACATATAAACACAGTAAATGCACATAGAAAGATGAAAGGCACTGTATTAACTGTACTAAAATCATAACAATATAGTCACACATATCAAGCCAGCGAACTGCTCAGTATGCAAAGAAAGAAATGGATTCAATGGGGGTTCTGTCTCAGCTACAAGCACACAACTGGGTGTCCTAAGACCATTGCTCCACTGGTGACACGGTTCTACAAGCTGCTTTGGGCAGATGTGTCCCAGTGCTTATGACAAAGATCATGGCTGCATCACAAGTCTCAACCTGATTCTTGGAAGGCAGTGAAATACATGAGTACAATCACACTAATTTCGAAGTTGAGACTTGCCCAGAAAAACTTGGGACTTACCTGCATGGATACAAATCCACCTTGACACTGTCCTGACGTATGCATATGCTCTCCTGTGATACAGATGAAATACAGATGCATATACATCTGGGTGGGATATGTTTTGTTTCTGCATTGTTCATCTACTGCTGCTTTCCACGTTCAGAAATATGGCCACTCATAATAATATTTACTCTGTTTTCACAATCATATTAGGAACAGATGAGGTAAGACCCAGATTCTAACAGCAAAAGTCTGAACCGATTCTCATGCCTAGTATTTTCTACCAAGCTATAGACCTCTGAAGTCCAAAAGCCAGTCACAGAAACACCAAGCATAGGGACTTTGGGGAACTTCGAGCCACCTCTATCTGGGTAAAACTTAATAATCCTAAATTATTTGATGCCTTGCAAAATGTTTCTGGTCTTAAAATCACAAAGTTAACTTTGTTCACAGGCCAATGCTACACTAAATAGCTCTTAAAACTTAAGAACCTACTCTGCTATACTGAAAACTTCTTTTTACAGAAATATTTGAAATGTCTCCTTAAATTTCAGCCTCAGAATTTGATTGTGCACTCTAAAGTTGTGATTTATTTTCATTCCCATGATACTGTATGCTCTGAAGTCCCAGGTACAGAATCGTGATTTAATTATATATCAACAAGAATGAAACCTGTGTGCAGAAATGCACAGAGGAGAGCACTACGTTAATAATATTTTCTTCTTGTTTTGCACTGAATTTTTCAGTGCTATCTACATGATTTTCTTCTGTTTCCTATTCAGAAGAAAGAATCACAAGCAATACCTCTAGCCTGTTTCATTTCATTGTAACTTTGTTCTCTCAAGTGGAGACAAATAAATTCACCTTATTTTATTCAAAGTTAAGCATCAAACATCAATACCTAATCATATGTGATTCATTGTGTTCCTTTTCTCTATTTGCACTGTCATATTTAAAATCTGTTTAAATCCTCTTTCACTATGCAAATGAGCAGTTCCACTATACTAAGGACAGTCATGCATAAAGCGAGCATGGTTTGCAAGAACCTACAACAGTTTCTACAGTCAAACTTGAGAAAGAGGAGACAGCCCACTGGCCAGCCAGGAACCTGGGGGCAGAAGCTCACCTATTCCCTGTGGTACACAAGGCAAACCACTTAAAAAATAAGTGGCCATTTTCTCTGTGTCTGACTAGGAAGACAAAAAACTCCCATACTTCCATCTGGTACTGTAAGATTCCTTAAAGATTATGGGGTAACCAGACACCTTAGAAAGAGAATTAACCTAGAAATGCAGTAGGTTCTCCAGTTTTTCAATCAATGGAAAGTTTTCTTAAAAAAGAAGAAGATATAACAGTCAAAATCTTTACTGCAACTAATAAAAACATTGCTCTTTCTCAAAAAGATTCTGTGCTAAGATTACTTATCTAACCTAGAAATGCAGTAGGTTCTCCAGTTTTTCAATCAATGGAAAGTTTTCTTAAAAAAGAAGAAGATATAACAGTCAATCTTTACTGCAACTAATAAAAACATTGCTCTTTCTCAAAAAGATTCTGTGCTAAGATTACTTATCCAAAAAACTTCAGTTTGGCTTTCATCCCTACAAGAGTAATTTATTAATTTCTCCTTGCCAAAACAGAAAAATCCTCGGCTTGAGAAAGTGGCATTAAAAGTAAGCAGAATGCTATTTATAAACAACCTCAAATGGAACCTGTAAATACAGAACTACCTGCAGCTCTAACAAACATCCCTGAACACAAAAAGAAGGCATACCTGAGGTGGACAAGCTTGGAGTACTCAAGCAGAAAACAGTCCTTGAAGTACTGCCAGTCTAAATTTGAATCTCCCCTCAACTGAGCGTCAAGGTTATTCATACAAAGATTATGTAAGCAACTTCTAATGCTTCTTTACAAGTAAAGCTGTGTAGGAACTTAGAATAATCATTATCACTGTTGTTAAAAAGCAATTCGGTAGCTTGCTTATTCTTTTATCTTCCTTTTTTAAAATCAAGGGCTTCATAAATAGGTAATAAAAAAATAAAGGCAACAAAAAAATCAGTCTGTGTGGGCTCAAAGCTTCAGCCTAGTACACCACCAAGAGAAGCAGAGGGGAGAGAGTGTTTCCTTTCTTGTCAGCTTTCTGCAAGTAGCATCTGTGGAGCACTGATGCTTCCAAATACGCCAGATCCTTGTAATAAATTTATTTTGTTAAAAATTATTAACTTGGAATCATAAGAAACAGGTTCTAGTTTGAAGTATCTTTAAAAGTTTACCATGGATTATTTGACAAAGCTTCTTCAAAGTGAACGTTTCCCACTGTTTCCAACTCCATCAACAAGAATTGTACTACCAAACTAAAACTTTTCTTCATTTCCACTTGGAAATCTTCTTAAATTCTGCCTGGAACAACATAACAGGACAGATTAAAATAATTCTGATTTTTTTTTAAGCAGCAAATTTAGATGAATGATTACAGAAAGATTTTTCTTTTTTAGAAAATCTGAAAGACTACAACTGTGGATATACTGATCCTAATACATGGATATACTGGTCCTATACTGATCCATAACACCAAGCTTCATCCACTTCACCCTCAGCATTGTTCTGTAATCATGAACTTAAGAAAATCACCTCCTCAAGTAAGAGAAGGTCTTGGTTTGCTATTTAGTATTCATAATGATGTCAGTTCAAAGTGCAGAACTAATGAAACCGTGCTGGACTTGGGTGCAGTGTGAGGCACTGGCATGAAATCAGTGGCAAGTAACAGCAACGAATTTCACAGTATGTTTAAATTCTCCCACATCTCCATCAGTTGTTCCATCCTTGAGATGATCGACAGTCTTTCCCTCTCTTTATTAACAAGCTTTAGTATAGTAGTATACTATACTAAGGTATAGTATACTTCAGTACACTATTTCCACTCAAATTCAAAATCGAAACGGTTTGATTCTTTTGGGGCCTGATGCACTACAGACTCTTTGTATTACACTTGTAGATAGGAAGCGTGTTCATTGGTCTTAGAAAAACAAAGCAAGAACTGGCCAGATGAATGGTATGCCTTAGCTGTCCTGCAGAACATCAGAGAGAGCACAGACAGCTTTCTACTTGTCAGAAGAGAGCCATCCAATTCTCCCTTCATAAAAATTCTGTAGAATGAGCTTCAGACCCATGCTGGCATCCAACACTAGGTCTATGGCATCACTGATATCCTCCACTTCTTATTATGAAGGCTTCTCTGTGTGTAGACTTTGTGCTGGCCATTGACTTTAGAGTGAATTTGACTCATGAAGTCCTAAGCTGGACTCAAGAATGACAACAAAAAGAAGCCATTAAAATCACACTGGAATTACAGGGGGCAAAACCCCCAAGAAACAGAAACAAAAAAACCATAGCACTTTGCTGGATCTCTACTATTTAAGGGCCCAGAAAACTTTTCCAAGCACTGGTCCAATACAACTACTCATCCCAGCTATTTTTTTCAATCCTTTTTCTATTTACTGAGATCACCAGTAATGGGAATGGCAGCATCTGTCTACTAGAGGCTGGCCTGGATCCAATAATGCAGACCACGTAAGAGCTGCCACTTAAATGATATTTGCAATACTCATAGGTTGGACCTTATAAAAACCAAATGTGAGACAGGCTTCAAGTCCTGTCATTAATCTCCTAACCCCCAGCCACCATCATACCCAATTATTAATGTCTGAAAATACCAGAATACTGTTCTTGTACAATTCATTAAACATACTCATTCAGTTTTCTGTTCCGGAATGTTATTCTTTCCTCCAGTGCATTTAATTTTTGTAAGAATGCCTTTTCAAGACATGTCTTTTCTGTACTTCATTATCATGAACTGCATTTTCAGTTTCCAGATTCTTACTCCTTAGAGATTTATTACTTGATGTTTTACCCAACATTTGCAGCTCGGCCAATTCACGTTCCGGCTGATAAAAAGACCCCATTAGCATTCAGAAGCAAGAGGTTATGTTAAAGTATGGAAGGAAAATTATCTTATTTATGTTTCCTCAAAAGATAAGCCCTCTAGATGTGTACTAAAAATCATACCTGAAAACATCAAAACAGAAAATTATTTTATAAATTCAAACTCTTGATTGTCAATAGAAAAAGCTGAATTACTTGGCCAAAGGGACAGCTTTGCTCTGAGCAACTGCACATACTCTTCTGTTGTATACTGGCTCATATCCCAGTCTTATTCATATCAATTAGACCACTGTTGCACCCAGGCAGGACCGATCCCTCAATGTGATTTCATTATGATGCAAGTCTCAGCAATAAAAAGAGAGTTAGAGGGTACAGTTAAAATGGAAATGCAGCTTTTCTTCAGACACCTAAGGGCAGGGATCATTTCTCTCTCCATGTTTGATTACTGTGTGGCATAGTAATTACTCTCTGCTTTGTGGAAGCAGAACTTTTTTTGCATTCTTTTTTAAGAGGTAAATCTTTAGGATCAATCAAGCCGCTATACAGCTGAGATTAGGTAAAGCAAAAGGATAAACTACTCATTCCTTTTGAATAGCAACCAAAGATTTGGCTCCCAAGTATAAAACTTCCATAAAACTCTTCTTAAAGAAAGCAGCTTAGCTCACTCTGCCTACACACCCCAATGTGACTATTATTTAAAATATTTATATATGCACTAACTACAGGCACTTCTGACAAAGAGATGAGGTGACTGAAGCTCATGTCTGCTTCCTAGATACTACCTGATCTACATATGGCAAGCAAAGGAGGAAGATATGACCATAAAGGCATGAGCCTGCAGTGGCAGAGTCCTTGCTCTGTGCACCCTTGATCAAAAGAATCTGTTCACTCTTGATCAAAGTACTTTTAAGGGGTCCTATTTACCTAATCAGCAATATTCTTTCAGTTATATTTGTATAGACATTATATATGTATAGACATATGTGCAAAGAGCTCACTCAAAGTGTATTAAAGACCTACTAGGAATGTTTACAAACTGCTGTACAGAAAATCTGTGACACAGGACTTTTCATTTTAGAACAATTGCAGTTGCACTGGTGCAACTACAGTCTGACTCTGATCCATTATGTTGCTTATACTGTTCTTAAAGGAAAGGGAACAGACCAATCAGATGGAAATCAGAAAAAAACCCAAAAAACAAACCAGTAACTTGAGAGCTCGGTGAGAAAGAGCTTCCTAATCTGCAAAACACAGACCTTTCAGAACTGTTCAAAGTATCAGCTAGAATAGACAATAACCATGATAAACTGGGAACTCGACAGGAAGGTCCTTTGCAAACACCTGTACTGGATGAATAAAAGAAGCAACTTGAAACTCAGTTTACCACATTAGGTGAATATCTTATCTAGTCCACTGTTCTGGACTGGATCTCTGAGACTTCCTTCTTGGTGCAGTTCCATTTAAGAGCCCCTTGGTCAAAGCACTTACCTAAGGCTTGAGACACCAGGTTCAAATAATTATCATCCTGGCAGAATTGAAACTGGATACGGATCCCCTGCAACACATTAAGTGTCCTAGAATCTTGGCTGTTGATTATTCTGAAGAATAATTAACACAAACAATGGCATCATACATGTAATACATTGTTTTCCATTTCCACTCAAAGTGCAGGGATAGCATTCTGAAGATCTTTTTATTACAGATAAAGATAAACCAAGAAAAATTAATAGATTCTCTAGTATCTGTTTAGAAATGCAGGCATGATTTACATTTCCATTTATAACCAAACAGGCTTGATTTAGATTTAAACTAAAAGCCCTTTATACCAAAGGCAGTGAAAAAGAGAAATAAATATATGCACAAATCCCACTGATACCTATTTTCTGTCTTCTTTGACATGGCTACAGCAATGGAAAGGAGTTTGGAGTAAACAAAGATGAGCCCTAGGGAGTTTTGACACAGATGTTGGGATGATCAGGGCTGTATATATTGGATATGATTCTGAACCATGCAAGTCGGTAAGAAATTTTTATTAGAATGAGAGAAAGACTAAACCATGTACATAAGTCCTCGGTAGTAATCAGAATGCTCATGCTAGAAATGCCAGACTGATATCACCTTCCTATTTTTTCTATTAAGTTTCCAGTGAGGTTGACCTCTTGCAAATTCTGCAGAGTATGTAAGCCCTGTGAATGTTTTAAACCATACAGTTTTAATCTAATATAGCACTGCAAATGCTGAAGAGCCTGTAGGCTAAGAGGCAGATCATTCAAATGTAAAAACAAATTTGACTGGAGTCTAAACAATGTTAGCATCTGTTGTAAACTATAGTTTTCTTTTGACATGGAAAGAGAGAATGCATTTTGCCGAAAGGGAATTGGCTTGGAAAGCCTTTGTAAATGATACTGCAATGAAAATAAACGTAGTCCCCCAGCCTTAGTTTCACAGCTGTGCATGAGAAACCTAACAGATCATGCCCCATGTCATGAATACTCATTAGCTTTTGGCTGCAGCCCATGTCTTGGCCTCAGGATATCATGAGAACTAAATCACTGATGTCAATCATTTGTCTCCATGATGACACTGCAGTTTGCAGTGAGATGCCACTAGTGTTTGTAGTGTCCTTGCTAATAAATAATCATTTCTGGAAACACTCGACTGCCTTTACACTTGTACTTTTTCAGTTGTAATTTCTCAGTCTTCCCTTTCCTTCCCTATCATCATGCCCAGCTTCGATTTCTCTCTCCTCTTTTCTACAGCTTTGAAGGGTCACAGTGATCTGGTCTCATTCAACTGTATCAGCATCTCCTTCTGCTCTAACTACTTTCATCTTGGTATCAGTATCTCCCTCTGCCTTTTTTTCATGTACTCTCCCAAGTGAAAATGGACTGAGCTGCAGCAATTCAGTCTCTCTGTTGGGGCGTGAAGAGTCAGGTAATTCAGAAAGTTACATGGTCTTTTGCTAGAAATGGACATTTACACATTTCTTCTCGCTTTACAAGCCAAACTGCTAATCACAGAGCTCTCGCTGGTTCCGGACTAGCCTCCAACTCAAAGGTTAGCATGAAGAGTACTAATTTTGGGGGGAGAGGGGAGAAACCAATTTTTCATAGGAGCTAATTTGATACAAGAGATGCATGAGAAAAAGCCAGGATGAAACTTCTCCTGAACAGGAACTAATCTCTCCAAGTTATAAAAAAATAAAAAATCCAAACATTAAAATAAAAATTAAATGGCAAGCCTTTTACATAATACTAAACTGCAGACAAAAATCTGCAATTATAAAAAAACCTAAAAAAATCTTTTCCTCAGCAAGAATCTCAGAGGTCTTTGAAAATAAGTGATTTAGTTAACTCTGCATATGCAGAAAACCTTGACAGCCAATCAGTTCCAAATAATGTTTCAGCCTTCATTCTTATAAATTGAAGTTTAAAATTGTCCTTTCTGTTGTTCAGTAATTCTAAAAGTTAGCCCTACTTATTAGACACATCTATATACCATACTATTAAAATACCACACATTAGACAAATTTGAAGAAAAGAAATCATAACAAGGACACCAGACTCACCTCTATATTCTTGATCAGGTTATTATTCAACCAAAGGACATTCAGCTTTGTTAGGACTAGCAGATTTTCAATCCTGGAAATTTCATTGCATTGAAGATAAAGCTTTTGCAAATTTACCCATTTTTGTAGACCATCTGTTTTCTACTATAGAAGAAGAGGTATTACTTTTCAGCACCGAACAACAAAATGTCACTCTTTTTTGTAAAGATGCCATTAACTTGCACAGAAAATTGTTAGGTAGTTTGAAATAATTTGAGACCACGCCCTCTGTGCAGAATTCTGCTGATTTAGAAATCTTTTCAATTAAACCAAAAAAGAAACAGTAGTAGCAGCTACAATGGTTCATAATAAATGATTATGTGTTTGTAAATAAAGTATTATTTTCATTAAAATGTCTTCATTCTAACCAGTTTCCTGGAAAAGGTTTCAATGTAATTATTCTAGTTTTAAAAAGTATTGTTTCTAATGAGAGAGAAAAAAATCCAACAGTAGGTTCTAAATTACAAAACCCTGTAATATGTACCAGGTGTAATTTGATCCATATTGAAAATGGGATTTTTGGATACTTAAGTAAAGAAGTGCCAGATCCTGACTCCTTTGAATAGTGCCTTCTTCCTTGAACAGACAAAAGGAGTGTTTGTGAAAGAGTATGATTATCATTGTAAGGGACTGGAAATTGGCTAAAGTTGGCTAGAAAGAAAACTCATAGTTAACTTACCGCTAAACAGCATTCAGCAATCCACAGCTCTTTGAGCAACAGGCAGCACTCTGAGCCTAAAATCTTTTGAATACCTTGTCCAATGAGAATGAGAGTAGTTATATTTGGGAAATATTTCATGCCTACAATTCTGGGATAACCTGAGGAAAACATCTCCAGTGCTGTTGTTTTTATCCCTCTTGATCAACGTTTTCATAAGATAATCCATTACACGTGTACTGGAAATGAAATGCAACTATTATTCTCTTTACGTCCATGCTGTAAAAAATACATTATACAGTAGAATGTCTTACTGCCATTACAGTCAATTAGAGATAGCTGCTTAACATCAGTTGTGTCTTTTAAAACTTCCTCTGCAGTAAAATGCGTTTGCAATTTTGGCCATGTTCAGCATATAGCGGTTAAGTAGCTTTCTTCTGCTCCCAAAGCACTTTTGCAAAGTATTACATGCGTGCACCATATCACACCTCAGAATGCACCTTCAATTTAAAACAAAATACTTTTCAATTATGCTAATTTTAATCAAAATTAAAAACTGGAAACTCATAACTTTATCTATAAGCTAGTATACGTATGTGTATACATATACACATATATATATATATATTTGAGGGTAGATGGTGCTCTTTATCAGTCTTATAGTTTTCCACTTCTGGAGTGGTTGTATCAAGTAAATACAATAATAAAAGCTTTTGGCCAGGAAAAGATAAGAAGTTTACATGGAATTTCATTAAGGGTGAGATTCAGTTTGAGATTAAGACAGAAAGCAATAGGCATCCACACGTGTGCCTCTTGCCTAAGCTCTCATGCTAGTCAAGAGATTTAACCAATATAGCCAAAGGATCCTGGAAAGCCATTCAGATGACCAGACAGGAGGTGTTTAAGTTACACTAAATTAACTTATTCTATAGGTTCCCTTGACTTATTGACTAAGGATGGGATTCAGAATATCCATTGTGATTTCAGAGACCTTAAAGTACCCTGTAGCAGCTGTCCGGCAGGGTGCAGTTTTCTGTATATCCTCCTAGATATATATGGTGTCTTAGATACCTTGAGGCAAGTAAAATGGCACTAGACAGCTATATATCTATGCAGCTGAATCCTATCCTTGATTTCCACTGACTGTAATGAGAGCCAAGAAATGAAACACATGTAGAAAACTATCTGTAGACACCTAAACGAAGGTGTCTTAAACTGGAGCGGGACTCCATTTTAAAATTCTAACTGGTTCATAGTAGACAAAATTTCCTCTATCTTAGTTAATCACCCGATTCTGCTCACAACTATCCATTTTCTACAAAAATGCAGGACTGAGTCAAAACTCCAAGATTTATTTTGATCAAATTTATATAACAAGCTTATTTCTGTTTCTATATACAAATATTTCTGCAGGGCACTTTACAAGAAACAAAGTAGAGAATTGTATCTTAAAAGTAATTTACTCTGGAGATACTCTCTTTAGAGATTCACATTTCTGCATCCTAACTACTAATGTGTTTCCCACAGTTCTGAAATGTTCAGATCACCACAAACTGTTATTAATGCATGTCCTCTACCACCTTTGGGGTATTCCGGAATGGAGACGACCCTACAGATGGTATCTCTAGAGAAGCAAAAATAATTGTATATTCTAGCAAGGACGTTGATATTTATAGAAGTACTGAGAGAAAAGAAGTTTAAAAACAAAACCAAATTAATGACTTATCAGCTCCACAATTATTTCCTCAAGGTTCTGGTTTTGGTTATCACTTGCATCATCTCTTGAGTTCTCTGCAGCAACTATTATTTTTTAGTATCTTAGAAAAAGTACAGTAATATTATCAACTGTGTAGCCACCCGCATAATTTGTAAGTCATGGGATTTCCAAGAAGTTTGGAAAGAAGATCTAAATTCCTAACAGACTGAGTTCCAGAATCTGTATTTCTAATGGCATCACAGTGGAGATTACTACAGAAGAAAGTTGAAATTGCCTGGAACACTTTGACTTACTACTTTTTTAATTAACTTTTTTAGATTCTAAAGGTCCAAAAAAATAGTATAGCATAAACTATTCTGACCACCTCCATAAGAAAGGGTGAGGAATTGTACCCAGTTACGCTTGTATGGGACTCAGTAAATTGTATTTGCACAAAGCATAAAGGTGTGGTAAAAATGAACCAGTCAGAGCTCATAATTCACCAAAAAAACCTCAATAAAAGCCCCTCTGCATGTATGAAAAAATATATCAGAATATAATTGAGAGTATAAAACTTCTGCTACAACTTTCTAAAGTGATCACACAGCTGCTACAATTAATCTTTAGCATTAGCAAACATTTATTAGTATGTAAGAGTAGGATGCAGCAGCTGTTTTTTTCCTTTTGAAAGCACTTACAGGATATATTAACTACAGTATGCACAAACTACACCCTTAATATATCACATCCCCGCTGCTTTTGAATTTCTGCCACAGTATTTAATGACGCACAGCCCCTCTAGCAAGAAATTTAGGACAGGAAACGAAGAATATATTTTTCCATTTACAACAGCTAAGGAAATTACATTAGACCTGAATTAGATTTAGGTGGATGCCTGCTCCTCTGGGCTCCGTAGGGGAGCTCAGGAAATTGTTCTACCTCGCCCAAGAGGAGCACGGCTTTGCCAGCATCTCTTCTGGAGCGCTGCCTCCACAGTGACCTTCCATATAATACATTACCATAAAGTAATGCCACCTATCTGCCCACTGCGGCCTAGTCGAGGCCTCAGCCTGGGGCTGGGCTGAGCCCTCAGGCCGGCCGCTGACCCGGCACCCAGGACCGCAGCGCCGCCGGCTGTGCAAGGGAGACCGCCTCGCCCCGCCCACCGGCGGGCCGGGCGCCAACCGGAGGGGGGGGGGGGCGGGGGGGGCCCAGGGAGACCGCCTCGCCCCGCCCACCGGCGGGCTGAGAGCCAACCGGAGGCGAGCGTGTGATGCGGTGACCCACCCACGGGCCAGGTGGGGCAGAGCAGCAGCCAATCAGAGGCGTGTGTGTGAGGAGGGGACAGATCTCGTGCCGCAGGGGCTGCAGCCATGGCGGTTACCTCAGCGAGAGGAGTCCGCAGGGGCAGGGGGTATTGACACATCCCAGAGGGCTCAGCACCAGTAAGCCCAGTGAAATGGGCCTGTGCAAACTGGGGTTTTGCGCTCCTCAGCTGTGCTAGGCCAGTGGTCTGACAGCAACGCACTGGAGACATTCCCCATCCCTTTGTTGGGCACCTGGCCCAGTGCTGGTGATTAATTTAAGCTGCAATGACTTTTCCTCTTGCTCTGTTAGTGTGTGGGGTGGTGGAGTGTAGCTGATAAGCTGGTTTGTGAAATGTCAAAAAAAGGGGGTTAGGGAGTTTTATTCTGGCTCGTGTATCAGCTTTGGTCAGGGAGGGTGTCATGTCTGTGCAGCAGTTTATCTTCAGGGGGCAATGTAAACTGACTGTGCCAAACTGCAGCACAGAAGCTTACTGTGGCTTAGGTTAAATCAATTAGAAATGTGAGCGTGAGATAAAATAGGCCATTCTTAAACCAAAAGGACCGTGTTCACTGAGCCATTTGCACTGGATTAATTTTATCAATTTAAGAACAACTACAATTAAATCACTGTGTTTATTTTTTTGCGTGCAGTGAGACCAGCTGAACATTTTCCAGTGGTAGGATTGCTCAGCAGAAAATTGAATCCTCACTGAACCAATTGTCATCAAAGATGTCTGATTTGTGAGTAAGGAGCTTAAATTTATTGAAAATTGCAAAGATTTCTGTTAAAGTCTTTGTATTAATGTTTCTTAACATTTTTAATGGAGAGGGAGAAAATTGCTCAAGAGCTTCTGCAGTTCTACCAAGGCAGATCAGTCTGTAGCTCGTTACTTGCACTGCTTTTTCATGTCACCAGATGTCACTCCAGGTCTACATAAGGCAGACAGCGTCCGTTTATTTCTACATGGTAAAAGATGTTCTGACTTGGTCTTCGACTTCCCTGTCCATAGGTGCTACATTTCACTTACCCAAAGACAAAAAAAAATATATACCACTCTTTTCAGCAGGTCTGTAACACGGTAAGTCTATGAGTCCAAATACGCTCTCTTGAATTAACGTATCGTAACAAGCACATAGTGCAACAATTTGAAATTAAAAAGGGAATGTTAACGCTCTGAAAACTGTGCATACTTTCTAATTCAAGGAAAAAACCCAAAACAATCATCTACTCTGAGCCTTCTCCAAAGAAATTTTAATGCAATTTTGCTTAAGGGAATTGTGTTCTGTTCCCTTTACACCAGATCCTCCAAGAAAGATGGTCCTGTTTGGCAAATTACTCCTTTTCTTTCCTTTCTCATTGACCAAGACTCTTAGGAGCAACCTTCTCAGTAAATTAGCATAGGCAGCTAGGCCAACTGATACCATTTGGTGACCTGTTTAATATTTTTTAAACAGTAATTGAATGATTAAGCATTAAAACTGGACATTGCATCCAAATTCAGATATTCATTGGTACAATCAGTAGCAAAATGCAACTGCTTTTGTTTCTGAGCATCTAATGGAATGACTCATTATTGGCAGTGAGGAAAACCAAATGATCTAATTTGGGTATAGGGATTTCTGTTTGACTGGAAAGCAATCCTCTCTTCCCAGAAGGGAATTCTTGTTAACATCAACATTTTTGTGAAACACTTTTGGTCCTTTCTAGGTGACCGAAACATCTCAGAGTGACCTGCTCTGCAGCCTAAAGTTTGTGTGCGTAATATCCCTAATCTCCTCAACTGCAGCAAACATGCAGGGCAGCATTACAATATTAATCATTAATTCAGCTCATTAAGAGCTAGATAATGTTACTGCTAGATAATCTTGTGTTGGTTTATAAAGCCGTTAAAATGTATATTTGCATGTACAGTATTTTAAAAATGTCTGGCAGCAGGTTGCTAGGTTTCTCTTTTAATGTAAAGGATTTTCAAACCTATCTCAGACTGAATTAATCATTTCAAGTGTGTTATCTTTCACCTTCTGCTGTGGCACATTCTGCTGTAATTCTGCTAAAGCCTTTTAGTATAATTTGAAAGCATTTCATAGCATAGTCAAAGCAACTGGTTAAGTGCTGATGGTGCTTTGCTGCTGTATATTTACTTTTGGAATTGTCCTTGTAGTTTTGCTGA